TCTCTTCAGGTGATGAAAACCCGTATGACCCTGAGGAAAACCGGACAGTACTCAGGAATGTTTGACTGTGCCAAGAAAGTCCTGAAGAAAGAGGGAGTGAAGGCGTTTTACAAGGGCTACATTCCCAATATTCTGGGCATTATCCCCTATGCTGGGATAGATCTGGCAGTGTATGAGGTAAATCCTGATGAATCATTCCTGTCTGGAAAAATGTTCGGAAGGTTCAGAATCACCTACAACACCATACTTCCATAGAAAACTCCATTTTAATCTGTTTAAGCATCACTTGTGTGCTGATTTTGCAAAATATGATGCATCAACCCTCACTCTCATCTGTCATTCCTGTGTATTCCATACCAGAGCTTGAAGAACTTCTGGTTGTCCCACTATGCCAAAGACACAGCCAATCCAGGGGTTCTGGTGCTGCTGGGCTGTGGTACCATTTCCAGCACCTGCGGCCAGCTGGCCAGCTATCCCCTGGCTCTGATCCGAACCCGCATGCAAGCACAAGGTACGGCGAACCTTAAAGAAATAGCACCCCTTATTAATGCTTGCATTTAACTTGTAGTACCATAATGCCACTGAGTTGTTCAAGTGTTTTACGAGGAAATTCAAGATTTTTTCATGAAATCTTTGCTTAAATGCAAAACTAATAAATCTATGTGAGTTCTTTATAACTACTCTGTTTATTAGACATTTGAGCCATGCATGTGCTTCAGTATTCAAGAGAGGAAACGGTAAAGGACCTGAACGAGTGCTGAGACCATTTAAAGTAAAACGACAAGAGTACAAAATATCATAAACAAGCCCTTTATCTAAATTTTACTTGCAGTAATGTGAAAAAAGCCCCAAGTTTTTATAGGACATAATTTAAAAACATGATTTAAAAAACATCACCTGATTGTTAACAGGTCTTGAGTGCTTGAGGTTTTCCGTTTGATTTCATTAGTCTCTCGTCATTAAGCTTTGCTGCATTCGTGCACAGCTCTCGTAAGGTTTTTCTCTGAGCATCATACATTCTGTGGATAATCTTTTTCACTGCAGGATGATTATAACCCTTCTCAGACTGATGAGCCGCAACAGTTGCGTCTCTAAGACCATTGCTGATGTTTTTCCTCCTTGGTGTTGTGTTAACTGCCAAAACTTCTGCTTTAATACAGGTGCTCTTACTGGCTGATGATTAGTAATCAAGTGCATTTGATTAGCAGTATCGGCTACTTTGTTTTTTACCAACAGGTTCTGCATTTTACAGTTTAAAAAAAAAATAGCACTGTAAAATATGTCAAGTATTATTGTTTCTTTAGAAGTTGTGTTTAAATAATTTAAGACTTCCAAATGATGATATATAAAACACCTGAAACATGATGGGCCACCAAAAAGTATCCACATAAATATAGTGGAATAGGTTTTATTTTGCATTTGTCTCTTAACTTCAATGAGGTATCATTCAAATAAAAGAAATACTTCAAAACTGTCCACAGAGGGGGTTAAATAACCTTAAAACCGTGGTTATGAGGTTTAACTGAGGACTTTGTGCTTTATTCTGAAGTCATCAACATTTACACTTGGAAAACAATTTTCAGTTCTTTAATCTCAGCTAATTTCAAACATATGTTGCTTATAAGCAGCCAATACTTCTAAAATCTAGAGATTTCAAACATGAGGAGATCTTTTTCTTCACTCGTCTGGCTTTACCTTTCTTTTCTCAGCTTCTGTTGAGGGCTCAGAGCAGCTGCCGATGAATCTGATGGTGAAGAAGATTATGAAAAAGGAGGGCTTCTTTGGACTTTACCGCGGCATCCTGCCCAATTTCATGAAGGTCATACCAGCCGTCAGCATTAGCTACGTGGTGTACGAGTACATGCGGTCTGGTCTGGGTATTCAGAAGTAGGCAGCAGAGTTCTCAGTGACCGCATGTGTTTACGAGTGTAAGAAAAGGTGCACCCAACTTTTTTCTTTTCTTTTCTTTTCAAAACACTCCCTCCTTTTTTACATATGTTGTTTGCCCTTGTTTACCTGCAGTCCACTGAGACCGCAGGCCTTTGCTCATACAAAGAAAATCCTGCAGCGCTAACGCAGGGCTGACAGTGAGTAGGAAAATCTCTACAAAGTTTCCAAATGTTGGTTGTGTTTATTGTGCACTCCTAGCTTTATGTACTCCAACAAGCCTCATGATCTACTTCAGATGAGTTCATCTCTGGCTTTGAAAACCAAGAACACTTATCAGGGTAATTTCTTTTTGGTTTAATTGTTGAATAGAAACGTTACTCTAATATTTAATCAAAAAGTCCAAGAAGTCACCTGCTGCAATTTTCTGTTTTTTGTTTATCTTCTTATCATCAAAAATAATCTGACCAAGTCCCACGTGTGGTGGGGAAACTGTTTCACAAAGAAATCTGCAGAAACTAAAACAAACAAACAAGTGCAATACTGTATTTACACATTGTGTGACATCTGAGAGAGGTTTGACTTTTTAATAAGGGGTTTCATCTGAGGGTCATTGGTTCATTAAAAGGGTCTTTTTATATGGGACAGAAAAGGAGAACTGTGCCTTATGTTTTTTTATTCTCAGATATCTGTGGACTTCAACACCCCTGTTTTCTCTTGCCTTTCTTTCAAATATGTCTTTATTAGGCGCTGGTGTTTATGTGAATAAATCTGGATACAAATGTTAAAAGATGTGCGTGCATTTCTTTTCAAACAATAATAAAATGATTTGTTGTCCAGCTGAGACAATTAGTGTACAGTGAGCTCAGGTTTTTATTCTACACTGTGTTCACGTCTCTGGCCTTGTGTGACACTCGATCGCTGAGGCTTTAAGCAGAGATTAGTCCACTTCAGGGCTTATGTAATAACTGCTTTCCCTGGTGATGTCAATACTACAGTGTAACAGTGGAGCTGCTAATTTGAAGTGCAAATGTTGCCTAAAAAATATGCAATTTTCATTTAACAACTCAAAACGTAATATGGGCAAATTCTTTGAATCAGGTAAGAAAAATGGGCTATAAGACCATCAGCAGGAATCCAATTATTCAGAAATGGAAGAAATATAAAATGACCATCAATCGCCCCCAGTCTGGAGATCCATGCAAGATCTTACCTCACTGGGTGAGGATGATCTTGAGATAAGAGGTAGATCAGCTCAAACCGCACAGGAGGAGCCTGTTAATGACCTAAAGGCAGTTAGGACCACAGGCATCAAGGACATCATTCATTCAACACAACACGCTGTAATAGGCTGAGATCTCGCAACACATGTTCAGGCCAGTCTTAAGTTTGACAGTGAGAATCTAAATGATTCTGCGATGAATTGGGAGAAAGTGTTGTGATCAAATGAAACCATAATCGGAGCTCTTTGGCATCAAATGAAGAAAAGAAATGCTGAGTATGACCCAAACACCAGCATCACAACAGTCAGGCATGTTTTTCTGCTATGGGGTTCAGGGCAACTGTTTGTTTCTTTTTTAATATTTTCGAAGTGAGCAAACTTACAAATTTTGTAGGAGATAGAACAATTATCTTCCCCAGTGTGTGTTAAATATTAACTCAGTGAGAAGATTATAATTTCAATGTCTTTTATTTTCCTTCTTGCTTCATACAATATGAACATCGTTGACTTTGGTGTCTCCTAGTGGTTTTAAAAATCACTGACACATGCTTCTTCTCTATAATATGAAAGACTAGGTTCAAGTTTAATGTAATGGCTTTATGTGGAAGACAAAACAGTATGGAACAAATTTTGTCCACATTACCATGAACAAGTGGAACACATGTTACTAAAAGGTGGACAGACAGACTTAAATTTTATTTATTTATTTTTATCTCTGGTTTGCTTTAACAGAGTTCAGTTTGTAACATGATATTTAACACAGGCAACTTCTAGAAACAGAGATCAACCCAACAGGTTCAGAGATCATCAATATCAAGAAAAACTTTGAAGTCAGATCACCCAAATAAAGATTTAGCACAACCCAGGGATGCCCCGTCCAGCCAAATGTCATCAATCTCTGAAAATGCTCTTCTCTGGGTATGAACCGTTCATTATAAGGGTGCCTAAGAGAGAAAAAAACGCAACAATGGTTAGGATGGCGCGCAGGGCTTTGAACCAACTGGGGTAAGTGGGAAGGAGAGACAGATCATAATGGAGTGAGATTCCGAGTCCCATGATGACCATGGTGGCAGCAGGAACAATGCTGTCACTCATCAGCATGGCCACCCAGGCCAAGAGGGAGGGGATGACGCTGTTGGCCAGGTTTATCCAGTCAGGTTTTGCTGGGCTGCTCTCGGGAAGAGCGAATCCCCATCTCGCTCCACCAAGGAAAGAAACGATGGAGGCAGCATAGGCTAGCTGGGCATACGCCAACTCTGGGTAGTAGCTCTCAGTCACAGCCATAAACAAGGTGGGTGAGACGAAGGGGACAAGCCCTGCAAACCCCAGGTAGAGGGCAGGTCTGGGACTTTTCAACAAGTCCTTCATGTCATAGCGCAACAGATCGAGTTCTCTAGGAGGAGGTTCAGGCAGTGCTCGCTTTTTCAACCTCGCAACAGAAGTGTGGAAGTGTTGGCTCCTCATCCAAAAAGAAACATCATGATTCTGGTTTCTCTGGAAGAGGTCAGTCTTATTAAAACTAAACACAGCAAGAGCTTTTGCTTGTCCTGTTCCTCTTCCTGCAAACCAGAGACTAGCTGGTGAAGCCCAGCTGGAAGATACAGATCCACAAACAGAAGCCCCAGGCCCAGCTGATGGCCAGCATTTTTGCATAGGACCTGCCCAGTGTAATACCTGGAAAGATATTTACGATAAAGTTTTTTTTTTTTTAAGTTATAAAACTACAAAAAGCAATGAAAAGGTAAAATCATGTGTATGTTACCTTCTGGGCTGCAAATCTGCCTTTTCTGAATATAACAGAAAGCATCTAATGAAAAATGGGACAAAGGAATGGTTAAGATGAGCACACAATAAAGGTCATATAAAAACACAGGGAGGAATTTTTAATGTTGACAAATCTTCTGATTTTAAAACATCTGTAGATGTTTCAACCTTGTCTATCGAGCGTTTTTAAAGGAATATGAATCATAATAAATAAAGGAATGATAATAATAAATGTATCAATTGTAGCAATAACTTCAGACTGAGGACAGAGAAAATCGTCTGTTCAAGGGTACAGGTGGTGTGAGTTGTCAAACTGATCAGTCTTTACCTTTGCCTCTCGCTTACGCTGCTAGGTGAAGTGTCTCCGGTAGTTAACGACACTTATACAGTTCAGTTACACATAATAATACATTATATCACATAAATGAATAATTAGACGTAAATTTGAGGATTTGTCACCCCTGTCGCTTTGTAGCGGAGTCCTCCTAGAAGGACCTACATGTGTGTCTCTGTTGATAACACCGGCTGATACGTCAAACAAACGTTACACTGCAAAAGCGCCAACATCTGCGGTTCAGGGAGATGACAACATTACCTTTATTTCAGCAAGTAAACTTCATACTTTTAAAGCTGTTTCTCCCCAGGGTCAGCGAGCACCCAGCTTACCCAGCTCTGGTACACAGCTATTTACTTCCGTGTTTGAACCTTGGCTTCTGCAATTTCAGTTCCGCTACAGTGGCGTTGACCATTGACTGTAGAAAAGATTAGATGTTTTCTACAGTCAATGGCGTTGACAGAAACGAGTTGTCGTTCAATTTGCATTTGTCTCTTAAATATTAGACTTGGTTATTTACATAATGATGTTGCTTAATATGAAATTATTTCACATTTGTGAAAAAGAATTTGGCGTGACTGCATTGTGTGGCAATAGTTGATCAGTCCTGCACTGTAGTTTGTAGGAACTTTAGCACATAAAAAAAACCAACCTGGCCACCTGACATGAACTATAAACTACAAAGCAAAACAGTCTAAACTATACTATGAAAATGAAACACAGCTCTTGTGCTTGATACAGTGCTTTCCATCCTCATGCATCTTTAAATCTAAGAATGTTGGTCTTATTTCCAACACAGTTAAGTCAGCATTCTTGTGCACACAGTCATTAAGATCTGCAGCTGGACGGCAGTGGACTTTTCAAAGAGCAGGTGGTTTCGTGTCCTTGATATGCACGTGATTATTCTTCAGTGTGAGCATGAAAACTGGCCCTTCGGCTGTTTAGAAGATACACAGGATTCCTTTGTGAACTTCCAGCCATCATTGGTAGATTTTGTGGTTTGAATTTATTTCACTTGGGCATAGTCTGTCATTTAAACTTTAAACTTTAAAGTTTAAACTCTTTAATAATTCAACTTTAAAAAAACAAAAACAAACAAACAACTTATTAATAACCGAATTCGAAATAAAAATGGAACCGAGTAAAGCTCTTACCAGCGTGCATTTTCTTCAAGTCCGAGTTTTGTTTCCTCCTTATGGTTAACTGTGCAGAGCTCAATGAATGTGTCTGAATCTGTGTGAATATCTTTTAGGTATAAATGTGATTAAAAAGTGGAAAAAAGTAAACTCAGAAAGAAAAAGTATTGCACTTAGGTACAGTTTGTGTAAATTTTATTTTATTTTTATTTAGTGAACTTTACGTTGACTGAAAACAGCATTTAAGACTAGATTTACTAAACCTGCGCTAATTTGCGTAACTTCCCTTAACCCAACACCTACTAGAATTACTGGCTTTTTTATTTTCTGGTGCAAGTCCCGAGGTGTTAATCACCCCTGCTGAGATTTTCACAGGTCGTCAGCTTGTTTCTCCTCCAGCTTTTGTTGTGCAAACTACCCATTATCCTTGAGGCCTGGCACATTTGCATTTGCTCACTCACAGATCACAGATCCAAGCCAGGCCAAACCTCTGTGTTACAACCTTCAGAAATTCCTGTCATATCGATACAAAAGACACACATTCACAATATATGGGTACACAAGTCTGTTTTATTTGTTTTTTAAGTGTTTCAAACTTTACAGCGTTTGCAGACCCAGTCTTCATCATCCCTGCATTTGGCACAGGTGAATTTCTTACATGTTGCACAGGTAAACCTGCTGCGATTCCTGTTGCAGCTCTCTTGCACCTGGCACTGCGTTGTCTTTCCAGTCCCTGGCACAGCAGCTTCAGCAGGCTGTGCTAATATTTCCTTGTGCTGCATGAATCGGCAACGAAGTTCCTGAGCTAGAAGACTCAGAAACAATCTTCTTTTGCCTGTCCACCCTGTACATGCCTTGTACAAAATGTAGGCATTCCCCGC